ACATACACCTCAGTAACATAAGCTAGATGTACACAGACTATGAAGATATTGAAACTGAAGGCGAGGCGCAGTACTCCAGGTAAAGGCAACAATTTAAACTAAAGAGCCAGCCCTAAGAGAACAAGGAAGTTAAGTATGGCCAGTTTCTACCCAGCCAAGTAACTAACCAAGGGAAAAAATGTTGTTTCTGTCATACAGGCCCTAAAAGGAAGACTCAGACAGATCAATCATTTTGTATCTTGCACACCTAATTAGATGTTAACTAACATCATTGCCTAAAAGTGTTACCAAAGGTGGGAGGGATGGGGAGATGGGGTAGGTGTAGATCCTGCCCTAGTAAACTATACCTCAATTTGAAAAAAAGACTGCAGGGGGCTGGTGAGATGGCTCAGTGGTCTAAAACACCTTAGAACAAGCTTAGCAAAGCAAAGGGACCGCAGTTCAATCCCCAGCACCACATGCCAGCCAGCCCCACCCCCTGGTGGGCTGAGCTGGACACACACACACACACACACACACACACATAAATAAATAAAATTTAAAAAATAAATAAATAAGTTCTTTAAAAAAAAAAAAGACTGCACTAGCTGAGTGTGGTGCACACCTGTAATCCCAGCACTTGGGAGGCAGAGCCAAGAGGATCTCCCACAAGTTTCAGGCAAAAACCAAAAAAAAAAAAAAAGGTACCCTAATGTTTATAAATTACTAAACCTAAATCAATAGATTTAAAATTCAAGTCTTGAAGTACCAATCAGAATGTGTGATAAAACACTAGACACCAATTTCTTCTTTTCTTTTTCTTTTTTTTTTTGCAGTACCAGGGATGGAACTCAGGACCCTGTGCTTTCGAGGCAAGCATCTATTCTACTGAGCTATATCCCTGGGCCCTTTGCTTTTTCTTCCTATAATTTTAAAATTGCTAGGCATGGTGGTACATACCTATAATCCCAGCACATGGGAGGCTGAAGCAAGAGGATCACTGTGGCTTCAAGGTCAGCCTGGGTGGGCTACACAGTGACTCTAAGACCAGCTGCATGTGACTATGTCTCAGAACTACACCTGCACTGAAAAGAAATTTAAACTGCTTTCCAGCTAATACACACATTCATTTATGTGAAAAAAATATTTCCCAGCTAAAGATAAGGGAAATTGACTCTTCTGTTCTATCTATGATTTGAGAGAAGCCCATACCTAGCAGCTCGTGGATATATTTAGCAGTCTGTCTGGACAGGTATTTGGTCTCCTAGAGACAAGAGCAAGGGCTCCACAGCCAGGCTCAAGGGCCCAGCTTCTTTTCACTGCCTATACATCTTTTGGCAAGCGATACTATTTTCTAAGCCCAAATTCTTCTACTTGAGCAGAAAAATTTCTTTTCCTACTAAAGCAGAAAAAAACCACGTGGTACTACAGGCCAATGTTCCTAGTTACTGAGGAGGTAAAGGCAGGAAGATTCCAAGTTTGAAGTCACTGTGGCCAACATAGTGGGTTCCTATCTCAAAATCAAATTTCAAAAGGGCTGAGGATATAGCTCAGTCAGTGGTAGAGTTTGCTGCCTGTCACTGTAAGGTCCTGGGTTGACTCCCCAGTACCATGAGACAGAAGACAGAGGGGGTCCGGGACAGGGACAGGGTAAGGAGGAGGAGAGAAGGAGGGGAGAAAAGGGGAAGAGGGGAGAGGGAGGCAAGAGAGGAGAGAAGAGAGAGAATATAAACTAAAGCTTCTCTGGCCAGGCATGGTAGGCTGTGCTTGTAATCCCAGTACTCAGGAGCCTAAGGCAGGAGGATCTCTTGGAATTCAAGGCCAGCCTGAACTATTCAGCAAGATCATCTCACAAAGGAAAAAAAAAGTGAGTATAGTTTTACTAATATAAGATGTAGTTTTCATCAGTAAATTAAAGCTCTGGACATAACAGCTGGCAAATCATTCTTCAACGTCATAGTGCCCAGGAAAAAGAAGTGCACAAACTGTCTCCAACTTAGAAAAGCTGAGTTCTTTATAACATAATTTAATACTTTACCATAAATTAAACTTATATCCTATCTCCCAGTACTACCAATACATATTACTAAATTTAAAAGAAAAAACTCTTTAGAATTCAAATCCTGTAAAAATGACAGTTCAAGTTACAAAAAAAGTTATTGAAAATTTATACTGCTGACTATCTTAAAATTAAAATGGGGCCAGGGAAATGGCTCAGTAGAATTAAAAAAAAAATGATTAAAAGGTAACATTATCTTTTTTTTTTTTTGGCTGAACTCAGGCCCTTGCA